CCCGACCCCACAACACAACCCTGTTCTAAATTAAAGCTGCTGCCTCTTGGAGGAACCTCCAGGCCCTTCCCTTCCCGTCCCATCCCTTCCCTCTCCTCTGGCCCGGGGCCAGGATCACACATCAGTCATCTCATCCTCCAGCTCGGCATCGTCCGTCTCTCCTTCGCCCTCCTCCTCTTCATCAGACGTCACGTCGGCATCGTCGGCTTGTGCGAGGCACTTGGGACACGAGCAGGTGAACAGGTAGTTCTCCCTGCAGGGACAGGCAGGAGACAGAGGCATGGTGTGCACACAGCCACACTCCCACACTGCTGCTGGCCAGGGGTGGGGGACAGAACAGCCACGGAGGGGCTCAATGTGTCACACCCAGAGCAGTCTGGGGGTCCCATCCTGCTGGCTCGGGCAGGGTAAAGGTACCCCAGGTGGAGAGGGGGATTTCTCAGCCCCACAGGGGTGATGGGACAGGGGGACAGTGACTCCCAGCAGGAGCCCCTACCCTTGAGGGACAGAGAAGGAAAAGGAAGGGTCTGCAGGTGTAAGCCTGCACAGAGAGGGGGGAACCCAAATCCTACAACACATTACAAGCAGCTCGAAGCACCAGAAGCACCACGTGCTGCACACACCCCATGCCATGAGCTCACTGAAATTCACAGCAGCCCAAGGCACACACAGCTCTGGGGTGGGGATGCTGCCCTGATGGATGTTTGGGGTGTCAAGGGGTGTGAGGTCCCTCCAGGTAGCCCCAGGCAGCCCCTACCTGAGTATCTTGTTGCGGCTGTGTCTGCTCCGCTCCCTCTGACAGCAGTCTAAGTAACTGATGCAGATTTCCTGGCAGCAAACAGAAATGGGCTGGGCTCAGAATTGCTCCCCATGACCCCAAAGCAGCAGGATTTGCCCCAGTCCCTCTCAGAATCAGGCAGAAACAGGGGGTCTGGCCGCCCCTACATGGGATGGGGATTGAATTCCTCTGCCAAGATGATGCAGGACACAGGAGGTTTCGGGGCTGGGTCCATGGAGGATGTAGGGGACACAGGGATGATGCCAAGGTGTGATGTCACCTCAGGGCCACCCAGGCCCTGCTGTCTCACCTCTCCTGCTTCGATGTCCTCCAGAGCAGTGAGATGCAGGAGGAAGTTGTTTTCTGGGAAGGACGTCTCAGCATTGGGGATGCAGCTGTGGTTACCTACGGGCAATACAACCTCTGCTAAATGCCTCAGTGGCTCCTGGACCCACATCACATCTGAGTGCATCCAAGGCAGGACTGGCCATTCCACAGCTGGGCAAAGTGCCAGGGAACACTGAGAGCAGTACCCATCCCACCCACCCCATCCCATCCCACAGATGGCAAGCACAAACCCCTTTCTCCCAGCCTAGCATGGGCCATTTCCCTCGCAGTCCTTGTGTTACTTACAGCAGCTCTGCAGCACGTAGAGCCCTGATCCCTCGCAGTTGAGGAACTCTCCCGACTCTGCAGCACAGAGAGAGGGGTTAGAGCTCTGCATGGGCCCTTCCAGCTCTTACACACACAAGCCCAAGGAATGTCCATCAACAGGGAACACTCAGAGATCCCTGGGTGGCCTGGGCACTGCAGGGGGATCTCCCAAGAGCCTTTCTCTCCCCCAGGGAGGGGACGGAGGACAAAGATTCTTATCCTGGTGCCTGCCCTGTCCCTGCCCCCCCAGAGGCTCACCCTTCTCAATGTCCTTGTAGAGCTGGTCGATGAAGGCGTCCAGCTCCTCCCGCTCCAGCATGGGCAGGTCCAGAGCATCGCACGCGTGCACCCACTGGCTCAGGGAGCTGGGGGAACAGGGGACATGGCACAGTGCCACAGGGCCTGGGGAACAGGGGACATGGCACAGTGCTCGGGGAGCAGTGGGACAGTGCCACAGGGCCTGGGGAGCAGTGGGACAGTGACACAGTGCTGTCAGAAACAGCAGGACATTTCTACAGTCCCACAATGCTCTCAGCACCTGGTGGGACCTCGCAGAGGGGATCCAAGGTGGCTCAGAGCAACCAAGGTCTGGCAGAGGGATGTGAAAGGATTTGACACAACCAAGATGAAGTTTTTTTAAGTCTGCCCCTCTCTCAAACGCAGCCACTGACATTGCACACCTGCACTGCCAGGCAAGGAGCACCCACAAAGCCCCATTACCTGGTTCCTATGCCTTGGCCATTGGTCCCAACGAGGGCAAAGAGGGATCGAAAGCCTTCTGGAGTGAACCACTGCAGGAGGGAAAGACAGAGGACCTGAGGAGCCTGCAGGAGCACCTCGCTCTGCAATGCTTCAGGGAGCTTTGGGGGAAGCAAGGGAGCAGCAGAGTCCCAGGGAAGCCCTGGCCAACGCTCCTGGGCTGTCTGGGAGGCAGATCCACTCACCCTGCTGAGATATTCATCATAAAGAGCCTCAGTGAAGAGCAGGCGCAGCAGCTCCAGCTGGCCCTGGCAGGACACAGAGCACGGTCAGGGTGGGGGTGCTGTGGGTGCCAGCACCGGGATGAGGCTGAGCCCAGCCCATGCCAGAGGCTCTGGAAGGATTCAGGCTCCCCAGCCTGCCCTGCATGGCTGGAGGCTGCTGGACTCACAGCCATGAAATCCACCCATCTTAGCAGCAAAAGCCACCCACTCAGCAGCTAAATATCACACTGTCCCAGCCCACAGCAGGAACATCTCCCCCACAGGAAGGAGCAGCATATCCCATGAAAGCATCACAAGGCCAAAACCCTCTAAGCAACCACTTCCTCACCGTCAGGGCCTTCCCTTTTAGCCTGGAGTTTCCAGTGTTTCCTATCCCTGCTCTAATGAGGCTTTTGCATCTGTGGGCCCACAGACACAGGCAGGAGAGGGAAGGCTCGAGGACTGAAGAGCTGCTGGGTCTTACCTTAAATTTGTCCCCCAGCAGCTTGTGCACAATCTCCTCTTCTTCATTTGCTGTTTTGTTGCAGAACTGGGAGAAGGTCTTGATCCACCACTCCTTGTCTTTAGCCTGACAAAAGAATCAAGCAGAGGCATTGCACCAACACCACCTTCCTCCCCAGCCCAGAGAGAGGGAGGATTGTCACAATAAATGCTGAGAAAGTCAGGCCAAGGAAACCTTGGAAATAACATTGACAGTGGGATAACAAAACCACCCAGTGTACCTGTTTGATGGTGGCGACCATCCTGGCCATCAGCATTATGCTGGAGGTCTCAGGGGGGTAATGCATGTTTCTATGGGATTAAAATGGAGAACAAATGAGCAGATCAGGGCTGGCATGGGAATGAAAAGCTGGACAGAGGCAGAAACAGCTGCCATAGGTGTGGCCAGGCCTGCACTGATCCAGCACACCAAAGTGCTCAGTGCAGCATTGCTGTGTGGGGGTTCAGTGGAGAGAAACCTGCACCCACCTTCCTGTCCCACCCATACAAACAATCCCCCTCCATCCTGTTCACTCTGCTGGACATGGGACAAGATTTCAGTCAGGGATGTTGCTTATCCCCTCTGGAACCATTTCTTTTGAAAGCAGGGACAGAAACGGGCCCATGGGATGCTACAAGGAGGATCTCCCAGAGGCTGGAGATCTGCAGGAGCACCATAAACCTGCAGGAGTGAGGGATGCGCATAGCTCAGTGCTTTGTAGCTCTTTAGTGGAAGAAAGATAAGGAGTGCTCAGCTGTGTGTCCAAACCCTTGGGCTGCCAACATCACAACACCCAATCAGGAGAAAGAGCTGGGCAGCGTCCCACAGCCACCCTCACCCTCCAGCACAGCAAGGAGCCAGCCCAGGAGAACACCCAACCAGGAGAAAGAGCTGGGCAGCGTCCCACAGCCACCCTCACCCTCCAGCACAGCAAGGAGCCAGCCCAGGAGAGCCACCTCCCTTGCCCATGGAGCCACAGGCAGGTCAGGCCCTACCTCCATGCCTCCTGCAGCTTGTTGAGGGGGTGTGTGGGGTCGTCACGGGACGGGCCGAGGCACAGGACCTGGTGGTACTGCTCCAGAGCTGCCTGCCTGCACTCTGCACTGCAGTACGTCACCTAGAGTGAGGGGACAGCGCTGGCATTGTGGCAGCAGGAAAGGGGCTCCTAGATCTGTTCCCCCTCCCTGACCAGCAGAGCCCTGGCTCTGGAAAGGCAGACAGCACAAGAGCCCAGCTGGATGGGAAGGACTCAAGGATCCCAAGGAGAGCACGGTCCCTCCCAGCAGAGCCGTACCTGGCAGCGGGGACACTGCTGGTGCAGGTCCTTCCTGATGCTGCACTGCTCCGGGTGAGGCAGCACCAGGGAGCTTTTCCCCAGCAGGCGCTGGGCGTTCTCCTCCGCCGTCTCCAGAGCCCGCAGGCAGTGATCACAGGCTGTGGGGACAGGAGGGATGGGTGGAGGGATGGATGGAGGGATGGAGGGATGGAGGGATGGAGGGATGGATGGATGGATGGATGGATGGATGGATGGATGGATGGATGGATGGATGGATGGATGCCACAGGAAAGCCTTTGGAAAGCAAAGGGATCAGAACCCAGGGCAAGGCAATACAACTTGTACCAGAACCAGAGAGGAACAAGGGGATGGGGCTTGGAGCAATCTGGGTTAGGGCAAGATGTCCCTGCCCATGCTAGTAGTGGAATATCATCTTTAAGGTCCTTTCCAACCCAACCATTCCAAAATTCTATGGGGGCACCTAGCACATTCCTTCAGAGTGATGGAAGTCACCATCCCTCAGACGACACCCAAACTTGTCTATAGTTTAGTTTCTGGAAAAGCAGAAAAGGCAGCAGGACCATCTTTAAAGAGGCACTACGACAAACCCAAACCCTTCCCTTGGTACCCCTGCGGTCCCGCGGTCAGCCCACCGGACAGGTGCCAGGGATGGGGACACGCCACCAGCGCCTGCCGCTCACCTCGGTAGTTGTACAGGGCATTCCAGAGGAACTGCGATGACACCACCGGCTTCTCCACGAACACTGTTTCCCCTTTCCGGATGTTTCTGGTGGCGAACAAGCCCTTTCCCTGGCGAGGGACAACCGCGGGTCAGGGACGCGCCCGAAGCCGAGTCATACCCGGGAGCTGAGCTGAGGGAATCCCTCCATTCCCTCCATCCCCGCGGGATTTTACTCGCTGTGCCCCCAGGCTGGGCGGGAAGGGAAGGGAGGGACCCTCACGGAGGGCACACCGCGGGCTGCTCACCTTGGCGCTGCTGATGAACCGCGCCTCCGCCGCAGCCCCGGCGTGTGGCCCCGCCGCGGCCGCCATATTCGGGCGGCGACTTCCCCGCCCTGACCCGCCGGGCAGCGCCTCTTCCTCTTCCTCCTCCTCCTCCTCTTCCTCCTCCTCCTCCTCCTCCGCCCCCTGCGCCCCTCAGGGGTCTGCACTCGCCATCTCCCCCCTCAGCCGCGGGGCGCGGGTCCGGCGGCCATCTTGGCCCCCCTTCCACAGCCCCCGGCCAGCGTCTGAAAACAACGCCAAAACCCCTCAAAACAGCGCCAAAACACCCCAAAACGGGACCGGGGCGCTGCCGCTGCCACCCCAAATCGTGCAGGAGTTTGCTGTCTCTCCCCAGTTATTATTATTTAATGGTAGAGGAGTAGCTGTCACAGCCCTGTCAGGCACAAGTTCCCCCCTCACCTTGAGGTCTCCCCTCGGGGAGTGAGGAGGCATCGCCCACTGTCCTGCGCACCCAAAACTGGCCTGACTTTTCCCAAAAAAGCCTTCAAAATACACTACTGTGGCCATTCTGCCCTCGCTACCTCCTGCCTGGGGGTCCGCAAAGCCTTGAAGTCCGCGGAAACGCGTGTTTGGTTGTATTTACTAATTCACAGCGCCGCGGCTCAGCCCCGCTCGTCGCTGGCCAGGCGGCGGGAGCAGGGCTGGGAATTCGGGACAATTCCGTGTGCGGGGCTTGGGCAGTGATTTGGTGTCACTAGATGTCACTGTCGGCTCGTGCCGGGGACACGACACCGGGTGACAAGGCGGGAGCTGCCACCTCCATCCCTGGCCAGCAGCTGCAGCATGGCCTCAGGACTGGCCACTGACCCACGGCGTGGCTACAGGGCTGGCCACTGCTCTGGCCACCCGGCCGGGGGACAAGGGACAAACAGGCTGCCAGGGCCACATCCCCTGGCCGTGCTGTGGGATGCAGAGCCCGTGGAGCCAGCACAGGCTGTGCTCCATCACACTGTGCCCATGGCAAGGACCACGAGGACAAGGCACAGTGTGGGAATGCTGCTGTCACTCACCATTACATCCTCAGCGATTCATGGAATATTTATGTGGGAAAAGTCCTCTAAGACTAACGAGTCCAATGTTCCCTGGCACTGCCAAGGCCACATCTGAGCCATGTCCCCAAGTGCCACATCCACATAGCTTTTAAATCCCTCCAGGGATGAGGTTTCCACCACTGCAGCTGTGCCAGGGCTGGACATCCCTTCCTGTGAATGAATTTTTCCCCACATCCAATACAAACCTCCCCTGTTGCAACCTGAGGCCATTTCCTCAGCGATTTCTTCATGGAAAGAGGCAGAATGGACATTGGCAGGGGCTGCCCAGGGAGGTTTGGAGACCCCATCTCCTGAGATATCCAAGGAAGGTCTGGACGTGGCACAGAGCTCTGGGCTGGGGACAAGGTGGGGATCAAGCACAGCTTGGACTCAGTGCCCTTGGAGGGATTTTCCAGCCTCAGTGATCCTGGGATTCCTCCGCTCCTGTCCCTGTTCCCTGGAGCAGAGCCCGACATCCCCGGCTGTGCCCTCCTGGCAGGAGCTGTGCAGAGCCACAAGGGCCCCCTGAGCCTCCTTTGCTCCAGGCTGAGCCCCTTCCCATCTCCCTCAGGGATTCTGCAGCCCCTTCCCAGCTCTGTTCTCTTCCCTGGCCATGCTGCTCAGACTGGCAGAGCAGGAGCTGCAGAAAAGGCTTGGTCACATCCACCTGCAGACACAAATTCTTGTTCTCCAGGAGCCTGACTGCTCTTCCTGAAAATGTAGTTTCTGGCCCAGAGACAGTAACTCCCTTCATCTGCTTTGAAATGGGGTCATTAATCAATTGAAAAAAAGATCTTTCATATATATTTTGTCCAAAATAGTTTATTAAGGATAAAAACCTCAAACTCTTTTGAGAAAGATGAAAATATATTTGAAAATATATTTGGTTTGGTTTTTTGGTGGTTTTTTTTGTGTGTGTGTTTTTATTTTTTTTTGTAAGAATTTCAATTGCAAATTTAAGTGAGTATTAGGAAATTTTTCGGGTTTTTTTGTTTTTACACTCATTCCATCACTTTTTAAAATTAACTCGATTTTTATCAAGAGACAAAGCAAATAAATAAGTGACACATATTAAGGCATAAAAAAGGTATTTCTATAAATAACAATGTAAGAGTAAAGTGATATACAGTGTTCTAGGTCAGAAAGAGACAGAATAAATTATCCTGAGCTATTGGACCGTGGTCACTGCCATAGGAAGGCAAGGTGACAGCCTGAGTCCTTAGTCCTGGCCCCCCAAAGCCCTCCCTACCCCCAAAAATCCAGCTGTTAACCACATCAGGCTGCTCCAGATGTGCTCAGAGAGCTCCAGGTGCTGTGTCCCAGGGCAGCTGCAGGGATAATGAGGAGAGAACAGAGCAGCTGCCTGTGTCTGGGCCACAGTGGCACATCTGGCTGCGGGGCAGGGGGTGTCTGCTGCAGCTGCTGAGTGTTTTACCCCAGGGCTGGATTTTACTGCAGCCTCCAGCCCTGCACCTCGGCCAGCCCTGGGGCCAGCTCCCTACAACAGCAGCACACACACACACACACCCCCGGGCAAGGACAGCAGCGCCAGGGGACACACACTGCTAGGGCTGGATCCATGGGGAGCCATGGAAAAGGCACAGGTACAGCAAGGCGCTGAGAGAGGAGGCACTTCTGCTCCAGGGCAGGGGCAGACCCTGCTCCTCGCATCCAGGAGTCTGAGCAAGGCAGCAAAGGGCTTCCCTGTTTGGGGTATTGTGGTTGTGAGTGATTTGAACATCAAACATGGGAGTCAAGCTGAGAGAAGGAAGTGATTAGGGAGATTGTCCTCCTTCCTCCTTGGAGCAGACAGCCACATGTAACAGGAGTGACCCTGGTTTGAAATGCCCTTGTGCTCAGGAGCATCAGAGACAGCATCCAATTGCCTGCCCAGCATCACAGACTTTGATTGTCACTCCAACATCAAAGTCACCCTCTGATTGTCACCCTAGAGACACCCAGAGACTGTCAAGCAGAGACACCCTCTGACTGTCACTCCAGTACCAGAGATACTCTGATTGTCACCCCCACACCAGAGAAACCAGCAGATTGTCATCCCAACATCAAAGTCACCCTCTGATTGTCACCCCAGAGACACCCAGAGATTGTCAACCAGAGACACCCTCTGATTCTCACCCCAGCACCAGAGACACCTTGATTGTCACCCCAGAGTCTCTGCTGGAAACTGTTTGTGTGTCCTGGTGCTCCATGAGCTAACAGGAGGTCACCTGCCATCGAGTGATGATGAAGCCCCAGGAATTACAGCACCTGGCTACCAAACAGCAGCCCAAGAAATTCGGGGGGTTTCTTCCAGCCAGCTGCAGTTTAGTCCTGTGGCTCCAGATGTCAGATCAGTCTCACTTGGACCAAAGCAGCCCAGACACATCCCCAGGCACCAAAAAGCAGCCCAGTCTTGTGGGCTGTTCAAAGCTCCACATCCACGGGGTCCTCCTCGTGCTCCTTGCTGTCGGTGGAGTCGGCGCTCGCAGGCTGGATCACCCCGAACTGAGACAGCTTTGCTGCCTTCTGCTCCATGCTCTGCTTCCTCCACTTGATCCTCCGGTTCTGGAACCACACTTTGACCTGGATGGGAATGGCACAGCAGCTTAACCCAAGGGCTCCAGGAGCCCTTTTCAATTCATGTGCTTCTGAGGTGGGTATCCCCAAAAAGTGGAATTCCTTAAATGGGGACGTGCATCATTCCCTCAGGAAATAATGAGTGAGAACAGGAGGAGGTGAAACTACAGAGGGCAGAGCAGTGATGGGAAAGGATCAGGGGACTGCAGCTGCACTGAGAAGGCTCTGGCCAGGGAAGTGAAGGAGGCAGCTCCCTAAGGAGCCCCTGAACCCATCCCCAGGACTGCAGCTGCCACAGGGCATGATGAGACCCCCAATAATTATCCCTTGTCCCCCAGAAATGGCCTTGGTTTGTTCTCCCTTTTCCCCAGCTGAATTTAGAGCCCACTGTGGAAGATCCTTCTTTCCACACTAAACAAGCAGCTTACTGTGGGAGGAGCAGGAACTCACAGGGCAGAGCAGGGAAATAATTATATCCAGTGTCATACAAGGACACTTGAAACAGTCTCCAGAGGATCATGACAATGCAGACACAGCAGCCAACCCAGCTTAAACTCTAAAGCACAGCAGAGTTGTGCTCCTGAATGCTTTTTATTCTACTTCATGGATTCAGAAATCTTATCCAGGAACCATCCAAACTCCAGGCACATCTCTCCAATGTCACCTGGCAGCAGGGTGTCCCACAGGTCACTTTGCACTGTGTCCTCCTTCCACACTTCCCAGTGGGAAGGTCAGCACAGAGCAGCAGGACCATCAGCACAGAGCACCCCAGGGTCAGTCCCAGAGCTCAGCTCCCCCATCCCTTACCTGGGTCTCTGTGAGATGCAGAGTTGCAGCCAGGTCCACCCTCTCCGTGCCCACCATGTACTGCTGCTTAAGGAACTCCTGCTCCAGCCGCTCCAGCTGCTCTGGTTTGAACACCGTGCGCACTCTCTTCATCTTGCAGGGCCCTCCTGACCTCCAAGGCCCTGCAGGACCCAGTGGAGTGGTCCCCACACAGTGAGACAATTCCAGACCTGTGAGAAAACAGCAAAAATTGAAGGGGTCTGCACTAAAGGAGCCGGAGAAAGTGACACCAACCAAGCAGAGATGTCCCCGCCCTGTCCCTACCCAGATAATCTCATCCAGGCTCCTTTTCCCATGAAAAGCTGGAGTAGAAGAACTTTTAAAGGCCTGTTCTATGGTTTTACCCTCAGGGTACACCAAGGACAGTCCTGGACATGCAGCCAGACCCGGAGAAATCAGCACTCAGTGAGGTGGGCAGGACTTGACCTTTGCCTGCACAGCACCTTTGTAACAGGACAATAAATTGCATACAGAGCTGCAGAACACAAAAATCCCACCTCTGTCTCAAAAACACCCAAAACACAAATGTTCAAAGTTTGGGGGAGTTGACCCCAGACTGGCCCCTGGTTTTCCCCTTCCCGTGGCACACGGGCTCAGTGTCCAGGATCCAGCTTTCATGCAGGATCACCACATCCTGCACCTCTGCTCCCCACAAAGTTCCCAGGAGTGCTGATGATTCAGCAGGACTAACAAGTGTATCTGACCTGTCTGGTCTCCAGCTGTGGCCTGAGGATAGCCGTAATTAGCATAAATTAACATACAATCCAACACCAGCACTGCCACTGGCACCTGACTGAGAGCAGGTCTCGCCTTCCCCAGCCCCTCATTCTCCCTGCTCCAGCTGATGTCTCTGCTCAGTGCAGGGCAGGTCCTTGAAAATCTCTTCCCAGCTCAACCATCGTGATTCCAAGCCCAAGTGATCGCACTGCAGAGCTCCCTGCACAGCCTGGAGGGTTTAGGAGCCATAGGAGCCACGGAAAGCCAGCACTGATGGCACCACGGCTTCTCCAGCACCAGATTCCCTTTAACACACCCCACGAATTACAGCCAGTGGGATTTTCCCTGTGGAAAGCACCGAACAGCACTGGCAGGATCAGGCCAATAATGGTCCCCATCTCTGCTGTTCCTAAATATTGTGGCAAGCCAGGTTTCTCTAGCTTTTATGGAAATACTGCACATAATGATCCCCATTCACACCTGCTACTTATCTCTTCTTTAATGACTGATCTTGTCACGTTCTCCAGGCACAAATCTGCACCTTGACCTACTTATTTTCATTAATTGGGTGCAAGTTCTGCGTGTGTTTAAGGATTTGTGGGACGGAGACCTGACAGCTTAACAGCCGTAATTGCACTTTAAACTATTTTCATCATTAAAATCTTTTCACCCATCACTTTTTGTTTCTATTTTAACACTGGAATAATAGCAAATGTAATTTCCAACATGAAACGCTGAGTGGAAATCTCTCTGCAAATTGTTTAACTGTGTTTTCATACCTGGAAGATTGATGCAATACAAAGATTAACACAATTCTGCAGATGCTGTCTTGTGAAGGAAATAATATATTAAATAGTTGTGCTAAGTACTTAATAAAAGATCAGCAAATGCTTTTGGTGCCTAAATATTGTAGCATCAGGATCAAATCTGGATTTCTTTATATACAGGGAAACCTGGCTGCAGGTTTTGCATGGACAACAGCAAGATCATGCTCTGACTGCTAAAAAGGAATACTTCAAGAAAAATACTCTGAATAGAGATACTTTGTTAAAATCACTTGGTCGTTGTCCTTATAAAGTTCCAGTGAAAATAGATCCTGTCAGATCAAGGCAATATCATCCATCACCACGGCAAAATTTTACCCACAGATCAACAAAAAACATTTCCTTAGATAATTCTGCGCTAAAAACATGCAATTTTGAGGGCCAAGTGCTGCAAAACACTTGGCAATTTCACTTCTGTGAGTGAAAAATTGCAGGGAAAGCAAAATTAGAGAGAGATGATGGCAAATTTGGGAGAAGAGGGACCCACACAGCAGCAGAGGTGAAGAAATTAATTTTGGGAGCGAGGCTTTGGGAAATTACAGCAGGTTTTTGATTAAAACTCTGGCAGCGAAGTGCCTTCCTGCTATATGAAAGGATAAATAAGTGCCAGCGTGTGTAAAGTCACCCGTAAAATCTCATGGAATCACAGACTGCTTTGGTTTGGAAAGCTCCTTAAAGATCATCCAGTTCCCCCTCCACACCTTCCACTAGCCTAGGCACTGCAATCCTGGTTTTAGCTCTGCCCTTTACTATTAAACCTATTCCAAGTTTCTGGCTCCATCTCAAATGCAAACAGTGGGTTTGGATATTCTGTACCCGGTTCTGGACTGGGGACTGAATCAGGGGTTAGTAAAATCCTGCAGCATCTTCAGGAATCAACCACAGGCTCTTTCTTTACCAAACTGTTCAGAGACATCAGGTGTGTTAGAAACTGCCTCGCAAAATAAATAAACAAAAAACCCTACATAAACCAGTAATTTTTGGTCTCACTATATCGATCACCTGCAGACGGAAAAAAAGTCCAAGGAAAGTTTTCCCTCTGCCTCATCCCTTTCCCGCAGCCGCAGCCCAGCGCTTCAGCTCGGGGCCGCTCCAGAGGCTGCAGGAATGAAACCACAGCGGCAGCGAGGATCGAAGTGCTTTGGGGGGACTCCGACCCCATTATTTCCCCGCTCGGGTGCCGGCCCAGCGCCCGGCATTCCTATCCCGCATTCCGTCCCTGTGAACGGCATCCCCGCTCCGCACCCCGGCCCCGCATCCCGTCCGGGTGCGCGGCATCCCCGTCCGGCGCTCCTGTCCCGCATCCCGTCCGGGTGCGCGGCACCCCCGCTCCGCATTCCTGTCCCGCATCCCGTCCGGGTGCGCGGCACCCCCGCTCCGCAGTCCGGCCCCGCTCCCGCCTACAGACCCCTCTCACCTGCACCGGGCCAGGGCCAAGGCCAGCCCCACGCTGCGGGCAGCGGTCCCAGCCCCGCTGCCGCCACCGGGCCCGGTCCGGCTGCGGTTCCCGCCGGGGGCCAGCGCGGGGCGGGCGGCGCGGGGTTCATGGGGGCGGCGGGGCCGCGGCGCGGCGGCTCCCGGGCCAGCAGCGCTTCGATGTGGAAAGAGGTCTTGGAGGGCGGCGGCCCGGGCCGGGGGCACGCCGGGCTCTGCAGCATGGCCGGGACGGTGCGGCCGCCGCCGCCCCGGCCGCTTATATGGAGGGCGGGGGCCGGGGACAGCCGTGCTCCTATGCAAAGCGGCGGCGGGGGGGCGGCGTGGGCTGCACACACCCCGCTGGCCGCCAGCAACACCACTACCGACACCCTTGCTTCCCTACCAATATCCCACCGACACCCCTGCATCCCCACCGACACCCCACAGACACCCCTGCTTCCCCACAAACACCCCTACCGACATCCCTGCTTCCCTCCCAATACCCCACTGACGCCCCAGTTTCCACACAGACACTTCTTCCTCCCCACCGACGCTCCCATGGAAACCCTCCTTGCACTCAAGTTCCTTCATGGACACCCCTCCTTCCACACCAGCACCTCCATGGTGAGCACTGCTTTCACAGTGACAGCCCCACGGATCCTCTGTTCCCATGGACAGCCCCAGTCACCCCACATTCCATGGCAGCACTCCCACAGACACTGCTCCTTTTGCCCTGGCCCCCCATGGACACCCTTCTTTCCATGCTGTCACCTGCCCTGCATTTTCCCCTACAGTGACCTGTGCTCTTTGCCCATGGATCACCACACTGGCAGTCCCTCCTTCCCCAAGGATGCCCCATGGATAATGGTTCCTTCCTCATGGACCCCAAACCAACACCTGTTCCTTCCTCAGACATCCAGAGCAGCGCCTAAACCCCTTCCTGATGGACACCTCACACCAGCACCAATCCCTTCCCCACAGACACCCACAGGGACACAAACAATCCTTCAGTCCTAGTCCCAAACAATCCCTCAGTCCCATTCCCAAACTCCCCCTGAGATCCCAGGCCTCACAGGAGCCTTCTCAGGGCACAGCCTTTGGACCCCAGGCTGTGCCAACACATCACATTGTGCCCCTGTGCCAAGGGAATGTGTCTGTACCTGCCCAGCTGTGCCACAGTGAGTGGGAATATCTGGGATACAGGACAAGCACCTCAGGAGCTCGCACAGGATCCAAGGTCACTGTGCCCTGGGAATGGAACTGGTGCCATCCCTGTGTGACACCCTTGGAGCTGGGCACAGCCACACGGCTGATGGGGAGCTGTGGATGGCACAGACACCCCTCCCAGGTGGGATTCCTGCTCAAATCCCACCAAATTCTCACTGGAAATTCACTCTGGTGTGTACAAACACAGAGGAGCCCCGGAGTCTCCAGGTTAATAAACACAGAGCAAAAATCCCCTGTGGTTTAATAACCTGGCATTAGCCATCCCTGCATGCACAGGTTCACAGGCCATATCCAGTAAATCCTGCCTTAAACAGGCATTCATACCATTTAAAGTTTCTTTTCCCTGCACAATGCATAGAAATAATTACAAACATCTCTGTATTTTTGAGCATTTCAAAGCAGATGGGAATACACAGGCGGGATTATCCTGCTCATGAGGAAGCACCCTGGTGATGGCTACAAGATCCTCAGGGAGGAGGATGCCCTCAGGAGACAAAAGAGTCCCTGAAGTTTGCCTTTAAAACACGTTTTTTTCCTGCCTTTTAGCATCCTGTCTTCCCCAGCAGCTTCCAAATAAGTGAATAAATACAGCTGCTGCTTTATTGCTCCTTATCCAAACAGGCAGCTCTGATCCTGCTGCCGTGGAGCCACGGCCTTAATTGGAATCACACGTTCAAAGCTGGGAGAGCGCTGAAGCCTCTCTCAAAAAAAGTCACCTTGGGAAAATAAAACATCCTCAGAGATTCACAGCTCCTGGCTTTGCTGGCACAGAGGATGTGTGGGACTGAACATGGGTGTCATTAGATGAGGTTTGGGGTTATTAAAAGGTTTTTAAATCAATTCATGATTTTTGCTCTTTTTAAGTCCTGATGGTGCTGTGATTCCCAGGGAAAGCAGTGTCAGAGCTCCTGCAGTTATCAAAGGATCTGTGTTGGAGTTGGAATGGCCGAGCTCCAGGCAGGGCAGGGACACTGATGGATCCCCCTGGCAGGATGGGGGGACAGACGGATGGACAGGCAGCTGCTGGGATGGGCAGGGAGCTGCAGGGATGGACAGGGAACCACAGGGATGGACAGGGAGCTGCAGGGATGGACAGGGAGACTCTGGAAAGGACAGGGAGCTACTGGGATGGACAGGGAGACTCTGGAAAGGACAGGGAGCTGCTGGGATGGACAGGGAGACTCTGGAATGGACAGAGAACCACAGGGATGGACCGAGGGATGCCCCAGCGGCCAAAGACCAGCTGACTTCTCCCTTCCATCCTCGTGCTCACCCACAGCCGGTGCCTAATGACGTGTCCTGTTTCCCATTAGTGCTGTGTGCTCAGCTAATGCATTTTGGTGGGAAAGCTGGAAATTTTCACCCGCTGGTAATGACTTGGGAAATGTAGCACCCAGCAGCTAGGCAGGGCAGGGGGCTCTGGCCAGGACCCCCCACCTCCCCTGCCCACACCTGCTCCAGCCACCGACCCCAGACCCTCCAGAGAGGGGACATGAAAGGGTGGGATCTGATCCTCTTTGGTTTTCTGGTCGTGATTATTTTATTTATTTTATTTTATTTTATTTTATTTTATTTTATTTTATTTTATTTTATTTTATTCACTTTATTCTATTCATTATATTTTATTCCTGTTTTGTTTTTCAAGAGTGTAGAAAATAAAAGGGGAAGGGGGGGGAGGAATCTCTTAGGGGGAGTTTCTTAGAGAAGGGGTAAAAAAAATCCCAACAACAAAACAACAACCCAAAAAGCCCCCCAAAAAGCCCCCAGCCCTTTGTAAACATCCCCCCTGAGCAAAGGGAAGGAGGTGAAAAGCATTTCCTGATAACTCCATTAAAGAATGAGGCTGCATTAACATTCCAAGTCCCTCGACAAGAGATGAAAGTGGGGAACTCAGTTCAGCCTCTCCTGCTCCAGATGTTATTATGGGCTCCCTGAAAGGTTTTTTTATTTCTTTTTTTGCAAAGAGACAAAGATGTTGCCTACTTCAAACGGGGCTAATTGATGCTAATGACTATCAGATAGAGGGGGGGCCCTTTTTCCCCCGGCCAAGGGGAAAGAGAGCGCATTTTACAATCCCCCCATAGAAAACGCCCCACTCTTCAATCCAGGTTGGTGCTTTAGGGATTTTTGTTCCCTCCTGGCTGCTGCTTTCTCTCCTCCTCCTCCTCATTCCCCCCCTCCCCGCTTCATCTTTTCTGTCCCCCTTCTTCTGGGCACCCCGCAGCTCTCACTTGTTTGCCCATGAGAAATTTCACACCTCGCCTCTCGGTGAGGAGAGCCCGGCTCCATTTCCATCCCTCTCCCAGCCCCAAACCCATCCCAGCGGGGCGAGAGGGGCGGCGGAAATTTCCCCAACCGCGCAGCAAGCACACGCGAAAACGTGACGGGGATTTGGTGCATCTGTAATCCCAGGCGTGAGTGCTCCTGGTGCTCCTGAGTGCTCCTGCCCGCGGGACACAGCGCCGGGAAACAGCGCCGGGAGGGAGCGATGCATCCATCGGGAGCACCCCTAGGTCAGGGGAGGGTGGATCCCAGGCTCCCTGCAATCAGGGCAGGATAGATCCCAGGTTCCTGGTGCCCCTGCAGTCAGGGGAGGATGGATCCCAGGATCCCTGCAGTCAGGGAAGGATAGATCCCAGGTTCCTAGTGCCCCTGCAGTCAGGGGAGGATGGATCCCAGGTTCCTGGTGCCCCTGCAATCAGGGGAGGATGGATCCCAGGATCCCTGCAGTCAGGGAAGGATAGATCCCAGGTTCCTAGTGCCCCTGCAGTCAGGGGAGGATGGATCCCAGGTTCCTGGTGCCCCTGCAATCAGGGGAGGATGGATCCCAGGCCCCCAGTGCTCCTGCAATCAGGGGAGGATGGATCTCAGGATTCTGCAGTCAGGGGAGGATGGATTCCAGGTTCCTGGTGTCCCTGTAATCAGGGGAGGAGGGATCCCAGCCCTCCTGCAATCAGGAGAGGATGGATCCCAGGTTCCTGGTGCCCCTGCAGTCAGGGGAGGATGGATCCCAGACTGCCCATGCTGCTGAGCCAGGAGGATGCTCTTGCTCAATGGAATAAATGGCCCAGCACTGCCAACCTGAGAGAGCTGAAATCCTGAGCTCATGTCTTTTAATGAAAATTGCCTTAAAAATGGGATTCTGAGCACTAGGTTTTGGCCTTAAGTCAGATTTTTGCAAAGGTTTCTCCTGTGCCAACCCAAAGTGCCAGTAAATGATAATCCATGAATCAGCAATGGGAAATTAGGAATGTTCTCAGCCCCATGACTCCTTGGGCTGGTGCTTTGCCCCTGTCCAAACCAGATCCCATTGAGTCCTCTAGGAAAGGGGAATGGGGATCCCTCTCTGCAGTGGGAAGAGGAGCATGAGTTCTCTTCGAGAAGGAGAATGGATGTGTTCCTATTCCTCCACCATAACGCCTAAAAAGATAAATTCCTCTGGCTCACAGCAACAGCTGTGGGTGCTCTGTGCACCGGGAGCACCTGGAGGTGGGTGCCAAGGAGCCACCCTGCCCCAGCTCTGTCCCCCTCCTGTGACAGGGAGCCAAGGAGCCCCCCTGCCTCAGCTCTGTCATCCTCTGACAGGCCCCAGGGAGCTGCAGACCACAGCGCTGGGGCTGACTGCCCCTGGTGAATCCTGTCTCTCCCTTAGCAGGAGGATCCAAGTCTCCTTCTGGATCCTCAGCACCTCGCAGGGTCCCACCAGCAGCCCCAGACTGGGTGAGGACAGGAGCAAGAGGAGCCTGGGTTCCAGGTGACAAGGGCAAGGCCACCCCCCAAGGACCCTGCCAGAGCCTGGTGTCAGTGGAGCATAGGATGGACAGGACAATTTGGGGACATGCCAGTGTCATAGGACAGTTTGGGGACATGCCAGTGCCACAGGTCATCCCAAACGCTGGCCTGGAGAGGAGTCCCTGCCAGTTCTCTCCATCCTTGTCACCTCATTTTGTCCCCTGCCTGTCAAACTCCCCCAAGCTGACCCAACATGTCCCAGGCCAGGCTGGACAGGGTTTGGGACAGCCCGGGACAGTGGCACGTGTCCCTGCCATGGCAGGGGTGGATGGAGATGGTCCCCAAGGTCCCTCCAGCCCAGCCATTCCGTGATTTCCATGCAATGGAAGATTCCCTGCAGTCCCCAGGGCCCTGGGTTTTTGCTGGGAGAGGCAGAGGACAGCAGCCCCCAGCCCAGACAGCCAATACA